TCACAGCCTTTTCTACAGTCCGAACTACCAGTTGGAACACCACGATGAGGGGAGATGCCCCTGTGTGACGCTAAGTCCACTGTTTCCTTATACACGAAGGAGTGTCCGCTCTGGCTGCTGATTCTATAGTAACACTTTAAACATTTACAGAAATTTCTGGAGTGGCTCACCCACACCACAGAACTCTTTCCAGGTGTTCTTACAATGAGCTTGACTGGGGAGTCAACCTTAAATAGGAGCCACAGTCCACCTGGGGACAGTTATCCCACTAATTACAAATTAGTGTCTACTAGTTGGGGAGGCAAAGGCAATTCCGCTCTCATTTGCTAGCCGTGGCGCATTTGTAACCTGATTTAGGAGGAGCTAATTCCTGGGTTGCTTGGGTGGCTCAGTTAAGTGTCCCACTTCAGCTCAGGTCATGATCTCACAGTTCGTGAGTTCCAGCCCTGTGTGGGGCTGTGTGCTGACAGCTAGGAGCCTGGAGCCTGCTTCGGATTCTGTGTCTCCCTCTCTCTCTGCCCCTCCTCCCACTCACTGTGCCTCTCATGCTCTCGCTCTCTTAAAAATAAGCATGAAAAATAAAGGAGATAATTCCTTATTCCTTTCTTCTTATCGAATGGGGTTTAATCCTTCCCATTCTTTCTAGCTTCCACCTGCCACCCTGCTGGCCCACAGATGACAAGTAATACAACAATCCAAGACTTGAGGTCATCCCAAGGGCATCTTCTATGTGCACCAAGTTTCCTCATCCTAGGGCTGAGAAACAATGAGACCATGGTTTCAGAGATGGTCCCTCTCTTCAGTGTTTGGTAGTCAAGGATTTGGGTAGACAACTCAGTGTTGGCGTTTTCTGAAGCCATGGAGGATGAAAAGCTCCTTAGAATCACTTCCCATAGTTACGTTGTAAATAAACCCTCAGGACTGGAATAGGTTTGGAATGGGGGGGTGGTTGGAGGAGATAACAAGCAGTGGAATGTCCAGCGTGACACCTACTTTCCGAAGACAGAAAAATGGCCACGTCGGAAAAAAAAGATCCAGTGCCTTTCTGGAAGGTGTCTGAAGTTCCAAAGGAAAGGAGACAGACACCAGGATGCAAAAGGGAGAAGACAGTCAACAGCTCAATGCAAGGTCAGCCCAGACTTAAACCAAACGTCATTTTGTTTCCCGGATGAAGAAATGATGTCACTGACCTGATGGATCAGAAACAGTACCTCCAAAGTCCAAGTGACCTGCTTTCCTGTGGTGGTTTTTGGTTTTGACCTCCTAAGAGTTCATTAAGATACCCATTGGCCAGAAAAGAGCCTTGGCCGGTATAAATTTCTACAGTAATTTCTCAACAGACTACAACTGCTGAGGTGCATGCTTATTTACATTCGGGGAATGTCTCTAAGTGCTTTCTTGGCAACAAATGGCCCAGACAGATATAGCCAGGCTGTTAAGTCTGAACCTACCCCATATCTCACTTGCCATCTTGAACTCTACCTATATAGGACATGAACGCGGTACTACGTTGAGCATATGGAGGAATATGGCATTCTGTCTCTGCAAGAGGAGAGTGAATGGCTTTGCAAATAGGACCACTTTGTGGCAGAGTCTGCAAAAGGAAATTAGCTCCTGAGAAAGAACAAGGATTTAAAAAAGAAAAGAGGGGCACCTGGGTGGCTTAGTCAGTTAAGCGTCCGATTTCAGCTCAGGATGAGTTTGAGCCCCATATCAGGCTCTGTGCTGACAGCTCAGAGCCTGGAGCCTGATTCAGATTCTGTGTCTCCCTCTTTCTCTGCCCCTCCCCTGCTCATACTCTATCTCTGCCTCAAAAATAAATTTAAAAATTTTAAAAATATAATAAAAAAAAAGAAAACAGATTAGCATATCTGAAGGAAGCACAAAGGGTAGGAAACTTTCCCTACTGGGAACTTACTCTCACTGGAAAGCCGTCAGATGTTCCCAGAGGAACCCACGGTCACTCCAAGAGGGGGATGGCATTCCCAGGATTCTCACCCCACCACGGTCATATCTATCTCTCCAACCACAAGCAAGACTTCCCTGAAATCTATTTCTTCCCTCAGGGCAGTGACAGGACCTTAGAAGACACCCCACCAATGAGCAAAGCCTTTCACTGTCACCGTGAATCCCAGGGAAGGGATGACCATCTATGTAAAAGCCATACACCACTAAGATAGTAACCAAAACAGAGCTGAGTGCCAGTAGCACCGAAGTCACGATACTAAAACAAAAAAAGAAAGTTTTCGGGGTGCCTGGGTGGCGCAGTCGGTTAAGCGTCCGACTTCAGCCAGGTCACGATCTCGCGGTCCGTGAGTTCGAGCCCCGCGTCGGGCTCTGGGCTGATGGCTCAGAGCCTGGAGCCTGTTTCCGATTCTGTGTCTCCCTCTCTCTCTGCCCCTCCCCCGTTCATGCTCTGTCTCTCTCTGTCCCAAAAATAAATAAAAAAAAACGTTGAAAAAAAAATTAAAAAAGTTTTCTTTAGTTTTGAGAGGGGGTGACAGGCAGAGAGAGAGGGAGGCAGAGAATTCCAAGCAGGTTCCACGCTGTCAGTGTGGAGCCCGAGATGGGCCTTGAACTCATGAACTGTGAGACGGTGATCTGAGCTGAAACCAAGAGTGGAACACTTAACCAACTGAGCCACCCAGGCACCCCCCTCAAGTCACAGTATTACGTGCTATTCACAACATTGAGTCTACATGTTAGTCTTCCCAGATCAAAAACTCAGTAAAATTAGATTCTTGCCCAGGTTTAAGGGAATCAGGTCAAATGCTGCAGCCTGAGTTTCTCTGGGTCTTACCTTAAAAGGGAACACTAAAGGTCAGTTTTTCTGGGGGAAACCCAATTACCTGAAATACGACGGAGAGAGTAACAGAATTACTGACAGCCAAGAGGTATGCTCCCAGGATACTGAGACTGTCCTGTGCTCTCCACAGAGCAACTCGAGCAGCTGGAGCACAAAACAGGCACTCAGCTGCCCAGGAGAAGGGGTGGCCTGCACAGGGGTGTTCGGCTAAAACCCTCAAGTGCCCTGGAGCAGACACATCCTCCTTCCGACTCTTGGGTGAAGCTCCACTGTTTGCTCATTCTTTGAGTGAGCTTTTTTCACACTTTGCTTTTTCCTACTGCTAGTGCTCATGTTCCCAAAGGTGCCTCCCTACCTCCCATATTTTACTCCCTCCCTTTAAAAGACCCAGTTCAGGGGTGCCTGGGTGGCTCAGTCGGTTAGGCATCTGTCTTCAGCTCAGGTCATGATCTCTCCATGAGTTCGAGCCTCGTGTCGGGGGCTCTGTGCTGACAGCTCAGAGCCT